GGCGCATTAACCACTTCGGCGCTGCTCCTCCCCGTGAGTCTAATTCAGTGGCTCTTATCAACCTGGAAGTACACCCTGCACCCCAGGGGTGCACCCTGCACCCCTGGGGGTGCGAGATGTCCTTTGTGGGGGTGCGAGACATTGACAGACGTTTTTTTTAGAATGTAAATAATCGAAAACACAAATTAAACACGGGCACGTAAGTACAACTTACTTAAAATTTTGATTTTAAGCTTTCGTGACTGCATGGATTCATATTATTGGTTCTTTCGGTAAAGTCACGTAGAAGGGAAATAATAAAGTAATACATCACAAATTATAGTTTAATATTTTTATTATTGTATTATTTCCCTTCTACGTGATTTTACCGAAAGAACCAAGAATACAACGTACTTTGTTTAATCAAACCCTACGCATTTATTAACATTATAAATAGTTTTTTTACGATTAAGAACCAAAAGGGTTAGGCTGCAGGTAAAGATGAAGACCCGGTGCTCTAGGAGGCTGTCTAGAGCTGCCTCTGAGCGAATGCCCTTCCGCCAGCAGGGTGGCGCGAGCCGGCAATTGCAGGGCTGCGCCTTCATCCTTGACACATCACACATTGTAGATCGTGAGTGGAAACTTCAAAGCTGTTTCTTCGCGAGCAAATTGGCGGCTCGTTTTTCAGGTTGCAACATCTCGCAAATGCACCCCTCCCCACACACCACGGGAGGGGGAGGGGGGCTGTGTAAGTCGCGTTCTGGGTTGTCGTCCCCTGTGCTGCAGCGATATTCAAACACGTGGTTTGGTCAAGAAAGGCCGGTACGAGCCGACGAGGTGCAGGCCTGCAAGCCAAGGCGAATAACACCAATACGCAAATCAATATACAATATTCTCATTGATAACGGCGCGTGCCACGCAATGAATAACTGCCCCGGCTTTGCTGATGCGAGTCGCGTTGGGCTCTTCCCACCACGACGACCACGGTAGCGACACCGCCTGCGACGCTGGTGCAGGCGATTTAAATACCAGTTGTCGTCTAGCGATGATGCTGCTGATGCTGCTGGTGGTATCGTGTCGGCAAGTGGGTGCCAACGAGCATAAATGGACACAATGTAACTCAACACATTCCTGAATAACACCGCGGCCTTAAATGAACAAAGAAAAATTGCACGACAGTTGAGGTTTCGGGAATTGGCCCTTCTTCACAGTGCATACAGGATGTACCCAAAACGTTTCCCATTTATATATATGCCATTTTAAGGCGGTATTGCTCACCGGATAAGTTGGGGTTTCTACTTATACGCAGTCTGCGCTGCTTGCATGATACCAGTGTTCTATACTGTGTTGGGCAACAACGCCTGCCCGCCACGCAGCAGTGGATCGACCAAGGCTTGCGAGTTTATTATCGACAGCGGACTGTGGTGTCTGGCACGACTGCATGCACGCCTTCCTATAACGTGCAGTGTAATAATTTGCAGCCAGCGAATTACTTTATTTGAAACATGCCTCCACCTTAATCTATCATAGATGCATCACCATCGTCATCTGTCACGTGTCGTGACGGGGAACCTCCAAGATCCAAACACGCCGGATCTGCTCGCCGAGTCTGATTGGCTCCCGGGTTCGCCAAAAGAACGCGTCGCAAAAATGTGGCCCACGCGCTCAGCGCACGCAAAGCGCTTGGCCACAAATTCGCCACAAACAACCTTTGGCGATCTCGTCAAGGAGCGTATCACTTACTCTTAGGTTTTTTTCGGTAAGGTCACGTAGGTAATAAATAAATAATGCGAATTAATCATATAAATATTAATAGAAATAAAATAGTAAATCACGACGTTTCGGAGGCAACACAAGTCTCCGTCATCAGGTGGGACCGTCACAGCTAAATTTGCTGTATCAAGTGAGGCAAAATTCCAAGAGACGAGCTCTTAAATACAAGTTAAGGGGGGAGGAGGAGGGAGGGGATTATCTGCGTATCACCACCACCATCACGCCAACTCCGGTCATCATCGCAGCGGCGGTTTGCAGATGAGCATCTGCGGCCGTCTGGAACGCTCCGTTAGCAATCGAGTAGAGCTAAGCACTTTACAATCACCTGCATTGACAACTGCCTTGTTAAGTACGGCGTTTTGCGTTTTAGTTTGTCGTCCTTTCCCACGCGCCTCCGATTGGCGCGGTTGGCTACGTACGGTGCGAAAGAAGTTTAACTTATATATAAATCCGGTCTCTCTCACACACACACAGTATTATAAGACGCGTTATCAGCGCTTTATTGAAACTACGTTGGGGGGAGTGTGTCTTAGGGGCCGTCCATAAATGACGTCACGCACCTGGGGGCGGGGGGGGGGTCAGATATTTGTGACGATGTGTAACGAGGGGGGGGGGGGTTGAGAAATGTGACGTCACATCAAAATGCGCAACTTTAAATAAATATAGACAACACGTTCTACTTAAGTAAATAGACGTTTTCATAAATGTTTTCACCTACAACATAATAGTGCAGCGCCACATTAAATACGCACTACAATGACAATAGTTTAAAGCGATTCGAAGCATGTTTTATATTTTTTTTGGGGGGGGAGGGGCAGAGCTTTGTGACGTCATATTTGAGGGGGGGGTCTGCCTTTTTGTGACGCCGTGTGACGATTGGGGGGGGGGGGGGGGTCAAAAATCGTCCAAAATCGCGTGACGTCATTTATGGACGGCCCTTTATAATCTCGACCGTATAGGCCATCATCCCTTCTCGTCGTGACGGATCCGTTCTAAATCTCACTCTCCTGCACTCACAGCTCAAAATGCAATGCTCCACCCGGGGTACGTTCTCTCAACCACGAGGCTCCCCTGTCCGCCTCTCAAAACAATCCCAAGCGCGCATCTCTCTCTCTCCTTCTACACTCGTCATTTTCCCGCTCGGTATGAAGGTAGTGCGTACGTGTGCAGCGTATGCACTCTGCGTCGAACGTCTTTCACACCGTACGTGGACCAACCGTGTTCGTCGCAGCAGCTTCTGCGCCAATGAGACCCCAACCGGCAGCGCGGGGTCCTGCTCACCGCCACGCGCTGTGTTGACTTTCATTATCAATACTCTTTGGTCCTTTCGGTAAAGTCAACTTCAGCTTTTTTTTGCGACAGCACTTCCGCCTAGCTATCTGTCTCTGTCTCTCTGTGTATCTCTTTCATCCGCCTCTTTCATTCATATTAATTTAAAAAAAATGCAACATCGCATCGAGGGCCACCTTTAATATGTCCCCCGGCACACACACACGTGTTCCTCTGGCTGCCTCTGTAGTATGTGTCTATGTAGTGGAGTCGTTGGATTTGTTGTGAGCCTCAGACCAAAAACAATAATCACGCGCCATGCTCAATGGTAAATACTTCACCGGCAGAGATAAGATTCGCGTGCAAATAATCTCGTCGACGTTCAACCACCAAAACCACCAGGAACGCGTCCCATTTCGTCGGATTTCATACCAAGAATGAAGATGATGATGATGATGATAGTAATGTAAACTTATAATGCGCCGCTCGGTTCATCGCTCGCTCTCGTCGAGAGAGACAGAGAGAGAGAGAGAAGGCGAGCGAGTGACTCAGAGGCGCGAGGAGGAACCACAGACAAGCGGGAAGAGTCGGCCCACGCGGTGAGCCGGCCATGACAGTTGTCCAAGCTCTGCGTTCCTCTATACAAGGAGTTATCAATCGGTTAATTACTCTTTGGTTCTTTCGGTAAAGTCACGTAGGTAGAAAAATAAAACGTAAAATAATATATTACGACGTTACGTGACTTTACCGAAAGAACCAAAGAGTATGGATTCCTGCAGTCACGAAAACTTCAAATCAAGATTCAATCGTTTAATTAATGAGTGTTTGCATGTGGGAGGAAAACCGGAGCACCCGGACAAAAAAAACTCCACGCACGCGAGGGGGAAACACTTTATCCCCATACAGATGCAACAGGTGGAGTCCACATTGCTTCTTCGGATAAGAAGTCAAACATCCGAAGGCGAGAACCTCATGAAAACAGTCTTCAGACCGAAGGATACCTTCTTGAACAAATCAATGGCATCCTAATTTTCGTGATATACTTTGAAACAACTAATACAGATTATATTTAAATGCGTATTTTTTTCAGTTGAAATATATAATTTTTTGTATTTTTACGGGAGATATTGTTTTCGGAGAATTTTTTTGGGCCCTTTGACAATCTACTCTTGAAGTGTCTTCCCACGCCATCGTTGGTCATTGGGGCAGTTTGACCATACTTCACCACGCTGGTCCACTCACGCTGGTCCACTCGCGGCTGATGTCCCCTGTGGCCGATTATTTATCAAACGACGGCTCACCCTCCGTGATTCCACGCGTAAATGAACGTGGCACGGCTTGGTGTGAGTTCATTCTCGCGATTGCCTGATTCTCCGGCTTAGAAGAGGCTCTGAATAAGTTTGACGCATCCCGAACCTGCGCCCGGTGTAAGTAAAGTTCACAAATCTGCGCACACACAAAGACACACACACACACATACACGCGCGCGTGTCGGATTATAAGACGCACCACAACTTTGGCTTCACAATCACCTTGGGTGGGGGAGGTCTTATAACCTGTAGAATGCGGTCATCTGTGCACTCTTTCTCTTTCGAACTTTTTTTAGAGCCCGGAGACAGCGGTAATCGGTTCATTGTGAACTCTCACGGCATTCCGACGATGCAATCCATCGCGGCCAAAAAAAAGCCACACACCCACGGCATGACACACTGGGCATGACAGTCTCTCTTGAACGTTGGCTCTGGGAGGAACGTGTCACGTGGTGTCGGCGCGAGAAACTCCGCCCGCCCACGCGAAAGCGAAACGAGTAGGAGTCGAAACGACGGAAGCGAAAAAGCGAGACGACACTCGGGGGTTTGTCGCTACTTTGTCAAGCTTTCGATTAGACGGGCTTTCCGACGGAGGGTTTCACCCGTGGACGATATAAACCGAGGCAGGCATCATGGAGCTCTCAAAGCCAGCGAGAGGAGCTCAGTCGGTGGATACTTGGCGTGACTCTCCGCTAGCAACTCGGTTGAAGGCGACTCGCCCAGACTCAGCGAGACTCCGTGAACGCGATCGCTTCGTCGTCGTCCTGGGTCACCGTCGTAGCGGCAACTTCTACCGCCAGCACTCACCAAGAGGATGGAAGCTCGCGGCTCGTGCGCGCTCCTGCTGTGCCTCGTGGCCGCAATGGCCCTGCAGGCGAACGCCAGGGCGACGGGAATGGACATCTGTACGTCGGGGTTTCTGAGCACCGAGCACATGAAGAAACTCGTGAAGGTCGTGGATCAAGTAAGTGACGTCGCCCATTGAATGAATGAGCGTCTGAGCCGGTTCGTCGTCGCGGTGTGTGAAGAATGGGCATTGCGTGGAGCGGTGCGCGCATCGCCAGAATCGTGACTTAGTCGAGCGGCAATTGCCAACTCAGCTGACGGGTTGTCAGCCCTTGGCCGGGAGTCGCACACAGGTTGCTTGATTCACATTGCAGCGCGCCAACTCGTGCGCCACCGCTCCCCCAAGTTCCTCTTGCAGATAGCGGATAATTGCCTCTTTTCCTGCATGAACGATCCGTCAGCCTGTATGGTAGAGCGCGTGCACTCCACAGGACACGTGCTCGCAGTACCACAGCTCGTGTAACTAACGCTGCGCTGTCACGTGTGCTGTGCAGGTTCCAGATGATCAGAGCAACTTCAGGATCCTGCCCAACACGGATGAAATGCGTCACCACGTGGTACGTTGGCATTCGCCTGTGTTTAACAATGCACCATCAATAATACATCGTCATCATCGTCCTGATCATTGTCACTTTGCTCACCGCGTCTCTCCCCTCTCTCCCCCGCAGCTGAAGCAAGACGAGACCAGCGTGTGCCTCTTCCGCAAGGCAGTGGCCGAGCTGTACGCGGCCGCCTTCCACGCAGCGGGAACTCTGCGGTTCATGGGCAACAGGGAAGCGAAGAAGAATCACGACACATTTCACAGCTTCGCTCGGCCCAGCTGCGTGAGTCCAGAGGGCCACACCGCGCACTAACACAGACGCACGGTGCGTGGAGTTCAACTGGAAGGGATCTCAGATGTAGCTCTATGATGGCCACTTACGTGAGATGTTGAGCGACGGATTCCATCTGCCTCGACCTTCCTGAGCCAGTGATGGAAATTCCTTCTTTTTATGGCAGGCTTCAGTCGAATCCACCAGGAGACCACCAATTACCTTCAACAAAGCGGGTGCTAATGTTATTGAGCTCCAAGTGGCGATGGGATAAGAACGATATGCGATTTTGGACAACTTCAGACTTAAGCGCTTCAAGGATTGAAGTTAAATCTTCTGATATCTTGCACTGCTTGGCTCACATTTATTCTGTTCATAAGTGGCAGTGCCAGCCAATGCTCCGATTGTGACTCTGGAGGAAGTTATCCGAAACCTCTCATCGCCGCTTCTGGCCAGTCACGAGGGCGCTGCTGAATGAGAGGGAGGTTACGTTTGTGTTACACTTGACACTGACGTTGGATTCTTGGTTTTGTTTCAACAGGGAACGACGCAGGAAGGCGAACAGGACGCCAGATTCAAGAAAATCATGGCAAGACTCGCTGATGCCAAACTCAAGGTGAGCTTGACAAGTCCCTGCAGCAACAACGCGCACACGGGAACGCGTCCTAGAGGTTTTACGTGGTCAGTCAATTGCCTGCTGTCCATACTCTTTGGTTCTTTCGGTAAAGTCACGTAGTTAGAAATAGAATAAAACAAATCACGACGTTTCGAACGCAACACAAGCGGTCGTCATCAGGCAAAGGAGTCAGCCTCTAAAGGCAAACTGTATATAAAGGTTTGGAGATGGGCATAGCCCAAGTGTATCAACAGGACCAGCAGCATGGGTGGTGCACGAGTAACAATGCAGCAGCAATGCCAATGCAGCAGCAATGCCAATGCAGCAGCAATGGCAATGCAGCAACAATGCCAATGCAGCAGCAATGCCAATGCAGCAGCAATGCCAATACAGCAACAATGCCAATGCAGCAGCAATGCCAATGCAGCAGCAATGCCAATGCAGCAGCAATGCCAATGCAGCAGCAATGCCAATGTAGCAGCAATGCCAATGCAGCAGCAATGCCAATGTAGCAGCAATGCCAATGCAGCAACAAGGCCAATGTAGCAGCAATGCCAATGCAGCAGCAATGCCAATGTAGCAGCAATGCCAATGCAGCAGCAATGCCAATGCAGCAGCAATGCCAATGTAGCAGCAATGCCAATGCAGCAACAATGCCAATGTAGCAGCAATGCCAATGTAGCAGCAATGCCAATGCAGCAGCAATGCCAATGCAGCAGCAATGCCAATGTAGCAGCAATGCCAATGCAGCAGCAATGCCAATGCAGCAGCAATGCAAATGCAGCAGCAATGCCAATGTAGCAACAATGCCAATGCAGCAGCAATGCCAATGCAGCAACAATGCCAATGCAGCAGCAATGCCAATGCAACAGCAATGCCAATGTAGCAGCAATGCCAATGCAACAGCAATGCCAATGCAGCAGCAATTCCAATGTAGCAGCAATGCCAATGCAGCAGCAATGCCAATGCAGCAGCAATGCCAATGTAGCAGCAATGCCAATGTAGCAGCAATGCCAATGCAGCAGCAATGCCAATGCAGCAGCAATGCCAATTCAACAGCAATGCCAATGCAGCAGCAATGCCAATGCAGCAGCAATGCCAATGCAGCAGCAATGCCAATGTAGCAGCAATGCCAATGCAGCAGCAATGCCAATGCAGCAGCAATGCCAATGCAGCAGCAATGCCAATGCAGCAACAATGCCAATGCCGTGACTTTACCGAAAGAACCAAGGAGTATCGATTCCTGCAGTGACGAAAGCTTCAAATCAAGATTGCCTGCCGTCCGTAAATACAATTGTCCGACCGGCGTGGCGGGGATAACTCAATGTGCTCACCGTGTCCGCCCGCGCGTTCTTCCCCGTCGACGCAGATTCCCTCGGACGAGGCGATGCTCCGCAAGGTTCTCCGAGAGACGGAGCTGCTGCCCATCGCGTGCACGGAGCGCGCGGACCGCGAGAAGCCGTCGGGCGGTCGGCGCGGAGGAGGAGGAGACGGCGGCGGCGGCGGCAAGCGGAATTCGGGAGCGAAGAAGCCGCGAGGCGGAAAGCAGCAGCGGCAGGGTGGAGAGAAGCGGCGCAGAAAGTCCCGGCAGTGAGCCGCCCGCTGCTGCTGCTGCTGTGCCAACACCCAGGACTGTGCGATCCAAAATGCGTCCGCGCCCGGCGAACCACGTCCAGTATACCTCTCGTTGTGCCTGCGTTTAACTCGGCACGTGCAGCGTGGGGAAGGTTGCCACCTGTCATGGTGTTCCCGGAATCGCGCCCTCCTTTTGAGGTGCAGCTGGACCGGCGAGTCTCTCGTTCCCACCGGGACATCGCACGTGGCGGTGTCGGGTCAGTGGCGCGGTGACCTCCGAGGTGGCAGCCCCCCCCCCCCCCCTCAAGTCACGTGCCTAAACTTTCGTCCCGGACGCGATACGGGCCCAATGCTGCACTCGATGAACATTTTAATCAAAGCGAATTGTTTGAAGAAAAAAAAAAGTCCTATTTATTTTCTACGTTTAAAGTACAGTTACTATTTATTAATTGCATTGCTACTATTTATGACGTTTTGAGCCGAAGTATTTATTAAGCACAGCTTTTTTATCAATTGCATTGTTCTTATTTATGACGTTTTGAACCGATGATGAAACGTATTACTTGAAAAAAAATGTTGTTTAAAGTTTTCAAATTTCGATCAAATAGCCACGACGATATTCATATATTGATACGTGATCGGCCACGCGCCTTGCACTGCCGGTCACGCGCCTTGCACTGCCCAGACGCTTCGCATCGATGCGACGAGAGCCCCCCCTCCACCCCATGGGGGGCCGAGGAGTTGAACCCTGCCCCCCGCGGGGGCTCCCTCCGCCCCCCAGCGGCGAGGCTCCCCCCGCCCCTCGGCGCTTTCTTGCTGTGGTTGTCCCCGCCTGATGACGGTTGCTTGTGTTGCGATCGAAACGTCGTGATCTGTCATTCTTCTACCCACGTGACTTTGCCGAAAGAGCCAAAGGGAATGGATTCTTGCACTCACGAAAGCTTCAGATCAAGATCGCTCGGCTCTTGCCTCCCTCCCTCTCTCGAGCTCACGTGGTCACCCGAGCGCGCATCGCTTTAACAGCATTCCTAATTCATTGCCTATTTATTAAGTACAGCATTACTACTATTTATTTAAGTTATTGAGCCGGAGGTGAAACATTAAAACGTGTTTTTTTAGTTTTACATTTGGTATTTAATGTACGGTTTGTTTATTTATGTTAATTTATGATTATTTATGTTCATGTTAATTGCCGTATTTATTGTCGTAAACTGACCGCGACGGGTGTACGATCGCGCTGACAAGAGTGGTATGATGACGATGATGGTGATGATGATGATGACGGTGATGATGATGACAATGATGATGACGACGATGATGATGACGATGATGGTGATGATGATGGTGATGATGATGATGACGATGATGGTGATGATGACGATGATGATGACAACGATGATGATGATGACGATGATGGTGATGATGACAACGATGATGATGATGAGTTGCTGCTGTTCGCGCTGAGCGTCTCGTCACAATAAACACTGCAGCCGCCTCCTCTGTCGCGTCTCCTCCTCCCCGGTGCGAACATGCCGAGCGGTGCTCCTCCGTGTGGGACACCAAACTAGACAGTCGTCTATTAGACACGAGACTAGGCAGTACTCGAGGCTAGGCAGTACTCTAGGCAGTACTCGAGGCAGTACTCCAGTACTGCAGGAGCCTCCTGAGCAGGAATGTTGAGACTCAGCAAGGCTTTGGCAAATCAGAATATCTGCTAACAGCAGAGGAATCCGATGAGTTATTAAGCTCTTTATTCACACGTGTCCAGTAGGGGCACGGGGTCAGAACGTAACAACCACAACAATCAATACAAACACGCGCTAAGGGTGCAAAGTTTAGAACAGTTAAACACAAATGCCTTTGAAGATATATACAAATACAACTAAACTATGTTTTGTTTCGATTTAAAGCTTTCGTGACTGCAGGGATTCATCTTCTTGGTTCTTTCGGTAAAGTCACGTAGAATGAAAATAATAAAATAATAATTAAAAAAACATTAAATAATTTTCACGACGTTTCGGCCACAACGCAAGCAGCCGTCCTCAGGTGGAGAACAGGTCTGTCGAGAAGACAGAGCCTGAATGACACGCCTCAGGCTTGGAGCGACTATTTAAGCTGTTTAGTTTTAAATCTCAGCAGCTACGGCCGACTGAGCCGCTCGCTGGTTTTTCAGAATCGACCAACGCCGCGAACGAAATTGCTCACCAACTACAGGACAAGGTCGTGGGTCTGAGTAACCGATACACGGGGCGGCTTCGATTTAAATACAGAAACACCTGCCAGGCTCCTTTCACGTTCAAGTGCGGTGCTGTGTAAGGGGGTCGTCCATAAATGACGTCACGCGATTTTGGACGATTTTTGACCCCCCCCCCTCCCCTCGTCACACGGCGTCACAAAAAGTTAGACCCCCCCCTCAAATATGACGTTACAAATCTCTGCCCCCCCCCCCCCCCCAATAAAACATGCTTCAAATCTCTTTAAACTATTGTCATTGTAGTACGTATTTAATGTGGCGTTGCACTCTGACGTTGTAGGAGATAACATTTATTAAAAAGTATATGTAATTAAGTAGAACGTGTTGTCTATATTCATTTAAAGTTGCCCATTTTGATGTGACGTCACATTTCTCAACCCCCCCCCCCCCCCATCGTCACACATCGTCACAAATATCTGACCCCCCCCCTATCTGCGTGACGTCATTTACGGACGGCCCCTAATTCGCGATGCGCGGTACCAGCAGAGATACTAAATCACCAACTCGTCGTCGGTCCGCTGCTGGATCGAGTCGCGACTGTCTTCCCACGCAGAGTCGGTCACTGGGGTCGTCTGACTGTGACCATACTTCACCACGCTGGTCCAGCACGCGCTGGTAAAGGGGACATCCCTCGGGAGCGGTGCCGATGTTTGGTCGTGGCCGGATGTCGTACTCAGGTCGTCGGATTCACGGCTCGAGGCGTGCTAACCACTACACCACCGCCCCGCCACCCCCCCGACGATCCACGTGGAAAACCACGACAACTCATCCGAGTTCATTCTCGCTATTCCCGTCTTCCCAGGTTTATACGACGCCCTGGGAGGTTAGATGCATACTAACCGTGTGCCCGGTGTCAATCACGTTACAAATCCGGTCACACGCGCACACGCACGCACGCCGGATTATTAGACGGGAACTAATTGCGTCTCGTCTGCTGAGCAGGAGAACACGGCAATCAGTGCACTCTTACTCTCTTAGCTTTTACACTCCCTGGAATCCCGCTTTCGTAATGTCTCGCAGTGTACACAAAGACAAAGATCCCCCCGTATAGCCTTCAACAGGCTGTTGGGGCAAGTGCTGTTAGCCAGGAGCACCTGTGGAAGGCCGGCACGGCACACGAGGGGGTGGGTGGCCAGCACCACGCCCGGCCGCCTTTCTCTCCCGACTGGCGATGTCTATACCTCGTACAAGGTACTAATTTGAGGTTGAGTCGACCTAGGGGAGGCACCAGGACCGGTTAAGATCATTGCCACTGGTGTTGGTGAACTTCTTTCAAACCGTTCGAAGCGCTACCGGGTGAAGGACATTAAACTAAACACAAAAAGCAGTTCCAAAGAAATGAGTTTTCAATTGAGATGATTTCAAAGTGCATCGCTCCAGTGGCTTCCTCATGTCGGAAGGAAGAAGCGTTCCAGACGGCTGTGAGCGGGAATCGAACTCGGGTGGCCGGGTTCGTAGCGCAGCGCGCTAGCCACTGCACCACCGCTCCGCGCGACGCACAGAGAGCACGTTACATGTCGTTACATGTCGTTATATGTCGTTATATGTCGCTGCTGTAAAACGGGGGCGTTGTATGAGCCCCTTCCACGTAACATTTTATGATTTTATGGGTTTTAACCACTCTCGAGAGAAAGCGCTGATGATGATGATGATGAAATCGTTTTGGAAAACACCCAGACAATGCACACCTGCCCACGTGGTCTACACGTCCGTACACAGCCATGCTTGTCAATCCACTGCTGGATGAAGGCCTCCGCCAAGCCGTGCTGTTCGTGGGAGGCTATGCGACCATACTTCACCACGCGGGTCGGTGCCGGTTGGTGAAGGCGGGGAGGAGCGCAGCACGACAGGAGTACAGTACAACAATGGATGTTTGTTCCAGATTTGAAGCTTTCGTGACTGCAATGATTCATACTGTTAGGTTTTTTCGGTAAAGTCACGTAGGTAAAAAAGTTAGATTGAAAGTTAATAAAAGTAATAATGGAAATAAAATAAAATAATAAATCATTAATATTTTTTATTTTATTTCCATTATAACTTTTAGTAACTTTTAATTTTACTCAGCTTATATATAAGCTTATATATAAGCTTATATATAAGCTCCTAGCTTGGCAGTGTCTCATTCTTCACCTGAAGACGGCTGCTTGCGTTGTAGCCGAAACGTCGTGAGAATTATTTTATTATGTTTTATTTTTATTATTTTATTGCTTTCCTTCTACGTGACTTTACCGAAAAAACCAAGAAGATTTTAATTTTATTTTATTTCCATTATTACTTTTATTAACTTTGAATTTTAATTTTTTACCTAAGTGACTTTACCGAAAAAAACCTAACAGAATGGATGTTTGCTTTACTGCCGTCTGCTGCCCCCCGGAAGAAGTAACGAAACCTATAACACCTGTTATGCACGTTGGGCGCCCATCACAAGCGGTGTGTCACGTGGCTATACAAACCTCGCTTCACTGCGACCTCTGCTTAACGATGATGATGATAATGATGGAAAAACCACCTGTATTCGATTCACGGCTACCATCAGTGGCGAGTACTGTATGGGAACCAGGCGCTGACGCTTCACTTCACCAACCCGGACCACGGCACCTGCCCCCGACGACACTTGACCCATGAACTCGCACTCCGCCTGCCCCAAGCTGCACTGGGCAGCGTGCTCAAGTTTGGTCAAATGACCTCCAACGCCACCCGCGGATCCGCGCGGCGTGGGGAGGCCGTGACCCAGAGGCGGGTTTACAACGACGCTGGAAAAGGGAGCGAATTGAGAGCAGAAAGTGATTTTTAAAGATCAATAATTATTCTTATTATTACAACCAAACAGAGTTGTAACAAGTGAAGAGGTCCTCATTAGCCATGTTCTATCGACTGCTGGATGAAGCCGTCCCCGTGCCCCAAAACCTCCTGCGATGCCCTCACCCCATCCTCTGACTGCTGCCCAAGTGCTGCCGGTCTCATCGCTCCATCTCTGCGGTGGTGGAGCTCTTCTCGGGAAGCGCCGATTTTGCCCACCCCCCCTCCACTGGCTGCCGTTCCGTCAGCAGTCTCGCCCGTTGGTGACCATCATCGCCACAATCATCAACCACCATCACCACCACCATCATCATCCCTCCCAACCACGATGCCTCCTTCCCAGAGCTCCGCGAACTTTCCTCAAGAGTCGCGTGGCGAGCAACGCGCCCGAGCGGAACGTCGTCTGGAAAGTGGCGACTCGGCAGAGTTCGCCGTGACGCGGCCGTGCAGGCGACGAGGACACGTGGCGGTGGTGGCGGCGGTGGCGGCGGTGGTGGTGGTGGCGATGGTGGTGGTGGTGGTGATGGCGGTGATGGTGGTGGTGGTGGCGATGGTGGTGGCGAAGTTGGTGGTGGTGGTGGCTATGTTGATGGTGGCGATGGTGGCGGTGGTAGCGATGGTGGTGGTGGCCATGGCGGTGGTGGTGGCGATGTTGGCGGTCTCGATGTTGGTGGTGGTGGTGCAGGGCTCGCGGTGCCATTCCGCTGCCTCCGAACGCAAGACCGCGATTACTAAAAGCAGCACCCATCAGAGTTTTGGTTAAGAGATATTGTCACTGTTAAGTGGTCTGGTTGTTCACGGTACATTGAGAGTATCAATTTCCCCCACGTGTCGTGACAACGCAGTTAGTTGATCGGAGTAAAGTGTAGTTACTCCCAACTTATCCAAGACGTCTGGCCTGCGTGGAAGAGTAGGCCGAATACACTCCGAGAGGGGCTCTCCAAAGCTCCTTTCAGCGGAGGCCCGTCCGGTAGCAGCGGCGCGAGCAACGCATTGCAGGGCTGCGCCTCTATCTTTACCCCATCATTGTCACGTGACACGATCCTATATGGACATCACTTTCTGGTTGCTCCGAAGGAGAGCGGTTTCACGAAACGTCGTGTTAATACCGCAGCTACCTTTATACCGATAATACCAACTTGCGTATTCTCACAATGACTTCACTTCAAATCGACTGATGCATTCTACGATGCGAGACGTCCCTGCGAGGCTGTAGGTGCTCACTCTGGGTATCAATGAGAATGCACCGTGACACGTCCGACACTTCTGTTTGACGACACCGCAGGGCGTGGGCAGTGTTGCTCCTCCCGGCGAATCGCAGCCCAGCTCTCCCCTCTCGGGTCGTGCCGCGTGATGTCAGACGTTTCGCTCCGCGTGCTTGGGACCTACTTCAGGAAATTCACTACATCGGCAGGCTTACATCAAACGCCAGCAGCCGGCAAACTTTAAACGAAGGGAGATGGAGAGTCGCCGCCGTTCAAGTTTGCTGCCCGAAGAAGTTCCCAGCCAGCGCGTGAAGCGAAACGTCGGACATTATGCCGATCAACACGCTCAGCACAAGAGCACAAGTGAACTTGGCTGGCGTTATTAGGTCCACGACTCTTGCATTGCGCTTTGAAATATTCTCTACAGTTTGTGTGTGTTGAACTTCTTTCGCACCGTACGTCGCCCACGGTGCTAATCGGAGGTGCGGCGGTGGGTGGGGGGGAACAAACTAAAGACAAAAATCAGTTCTAAAATAACAAGTTTTCAATTCGGTTTTAAAAGTGCATAGCTCCAGTAGCTTCCTAATATCGGAAAAATTATGATGATCAAGGTGATGATTACGATGATGAAGATGATTATGATCACGACGATGATCACCACCACCACCACCATCATCATCATCGTCACCGTCACGATGCCGTTCGAGTAGAGAAAGCGGAACGTGTTGTCGGGGTTCAAGGGCGGCTTCGGGGAACGTCTCGAAGTGAAACCAACCGGGGGACACGTGACACTCAAGACGCCCTGCGGCGAACAGGGCAGCCGCACGTGACGGTGGGGGGGAGGGGGAGCCAGAACGAGGGAGTTGCTCGCGACAGCTCAGTAAGCAGAAAGAAGGAAGTTGAACTCTCCCACCGCCCACTCGCAACGCCAGGTAGCCCCACGTCACTCGAAAGCCACCGCCAATATTCGGTTTCCGTTTGCAGGGGGAGTTGCAGCAGCAGCAGCAGGGGCGGTGCCTACAGCTGCGGCAGCGGCACGGAAGAGAGAGAAAGGGGGTGGGGTGGGGGGGAATTCTCCCATCCGCTCCGCCGTGACGCAACGGTGAAAACCGCTGCAGCGAACGCAGCCGCGTCTACTTTCGATTAGACGGGCTTTCCGACGGAGGGTTTCACCCGTGGACGATATAAGCCGAGGCAGGTATCATGGAGCTCTCAAAGCCAGCGAGAGGAGCTCAGTCGGTGGATACTTGGCGTGACTCTCCGCTAGCAACTCGGTTGAAGGCGACTCGCCCAGACTCAGCGAGACTCCGTGAACGCGAACGCTTCGTCGTCGTCGTGGGTCACCGTCGTAGCGGCAACTTCTACCACCAGCACTCACCAAGAGGATGGAAGCTCGCGGGTCGTGTGCGCTCCTGCTGTGCCTCGTGGCCGCAATGGCCCTGCAGGCGAACGCCAGGGCGACGGGAATGGACATCTGTACGTCGGGGTTTCTGAGCACCGAGCACATGAAGAAACTCGTGAAGGTCGTGAATGAAGTAAGTGACGTCGCACATTGAATGAATGAGCGTCTCTGAGCCAGTTCGTCGTCTCAGTGTGTGAAGGATGGGCATTGCGTGGAGCGGTGCGCGCATCGCCAGAATCGCGACTTAGCCGAGCGGTAATTGCCACCGCTCCCCCAATTACCTCCTGCAGATAGTGGTTAATTGCCTCTTTTCCAGCATGAGTTGTGTGAACGATCAGTCAGCCTGCATGGTAGAGCGCGTGCACTCCACATGACACGTGCTCGCAGTTCCACAGCTCGTGTAACTAACGCTGCGCTGTCACGTGTGCTGTGCAGGTTCTAGATGATCAGCGCAACTTCAGGATCCTACCCAACACGGATGAAATGCGTCACCACGTGGTACGTTGGCATTCGCCCGTGTTCAACAATGCACCATCAATAATACATCGTCATCATCATCCTGATCATTGTCACTTTGATCACCGCGTCTCTCTCCTCTCTCTCCCCCGCAGCTGAAGCAAGACAAGGCCAGTGTGTGCCTCTTCCGCAAGGCAGTGGCCGAGCTGTACGCGGCCGCCTTCCAAGCAGAGGGAACTCATCGGTTCATGGGCAACAGGGAAGCGAAGAAGAATCACGACACATTTCACAGCTTCGTTCGGCCCAGCTGCGTGAGTCCAGAGGGCCACACCGCGCACTCACACAGACGCACGGTGCGTGGACCAGAGTTCAACTGGACGGGATCTCAGATGTAGCTCTATGATGGCCACTTACGTGAGATGTGGATCGACGGATTCCATCTGCCTCGACCATCCTGCGCCAGTGATGGATTATTCACATAATTTACATTCCTACGGGAGTCAGTCAAATCCATCAGGCAACCACCGTTAACCCTAAACAAAGCGAGTGCTTCAAGAGTTAAAGTTCAATATTCGGATATCTTGCACTGCTTGGCTCACATTTATTCTGTTCATGAATTGTGACTCTGGAGGAAGTGATCCGAAGCCTCTCAGCGCCGCTTCTGGCCAGTCACGAGGGCGCTGCTGAATGAGAGGGAGCTTACGTTTGTGTTACACTTGACACTGACGTTGGATTCTTGGTTTTGTTTCAACAGGGAACGACGCAGGAAGGCGAACAGGACGCCACATTCAAGGAAATCATGGCAAGACTCGCTGATGCCAAACTCAAGGTGAGCTTGACAAGTCCCTGCAGCAACAACGCGCACACGGGAACGCGTCCTAGAGGTTTTACGTGGTCAGCCAATCGCAGTCCGTAAATACAATTGTCCGACCGGCGTGGCGGGGATAACTCAATGTGCTCACCGTGTCCGCCCGCGCGTTCTTCCCCGTCGACGCAGATTCCCTCGGACGAGGCGATGCTCCGCAAGGTGCTCCGAGAGACGGAGCTGCTGCCCATCGCGTGCACGGAGCGCGCGGACCGCGAGAAGCCGTCGGGCGGTCGGCGCGGAGGAGGAGGAGACGGCGGCGGCGGCGGCAAGCGGAAGCCGGGAGCGAAGAAGCAGCGAGGCGGAAAGCAGCAGCGGCATGGTGGAGAGAAGCGGCGCAGAAAGTCCCGGCAGTGAGCCGCGCTCTGTCGCTGCTGCTGCTGTGCCAACACCCAGGACTGTGCATTCGAAAATGCGTCCGCGCCCGGCGAAGCACATCCAGTATACCTCTCGCTGTGCCTGCGTTTAGCTCGGCAAGTGTAGCGTGGGGAAGGTTGCCCGCTACATTTTGGTCAAACCAGAGGTGCATCTGTCCTGCCGAGTTTCTCGTTCCCACCGGGACATCTCAAGTTGTGGTGCTTGAGAGGTGGTCTTGAGATTTTTTTTGTGTAACTTTTGCGAGATTCGTGCCGGGGGCTTTTTTGTTTGTCAGCCTCCAAGGTGGCAGCCCCCCCCCTCACCCCCAGTCACGTGCCCAAGGTATTGTCCCGGACGCGACAGGGCTGCGCGCGAGCGATATTTTAATCAAAGTGAAAAAAAACATTGCTATGTATTGTCTATTTATTAAGTACAGTTACTATTTATCAGTTACATTGTTACTATTTATTACGTTTTGAGCCGATGTTTTTTTTATTAAGTGACTATTTATCAATGACATTACTATTTATTACGTTTTGAGCTGATGGTAAAACGTATTACTTGAACTTTTTAAAAGTTATATAAATTTCGATCAAGTAGGCACGATGGTATTTATTATAAAAAAATATATTTTATATGTTATATATTTATATATAAAATATTAAATGTTTTATATATGTATTAATAATCGCTGTTGTGATAATTTATGATAATTTAAGTTTATTTAATGTTAACTTCTGTATTTCTTTCTGTCGTGCGCTTGACCGCGACGGCGTGTTTTTTTTTTATCGCGTTGACAAAAGTGGTATGATGATGGTGACGACGACGATGATGGCGATGATGACGATGATGATGGTGATGATGATGACGATGATGATGATGACGATGATGATTTTGATTTAAAGCTTTCGTGACTGCAGGGATTCATCTTCTTGGTTCTTTCGGTAAAGTCACGTAGAAGGGAAGTTATAAAATAATAAAAATAAAACATAATAAAATTATAATAAAATTATGTTTTATTTTTATTATTTTATTACTTCCCTTCTACGTGACTTTACCGAAAGAACCAAGAAGACGATGATGATGATACGTTGCTGCTGCTCGCGCTGAGCGCCTCGTCACAATAAACACTGCAGCCGTCTCCTCTGTCGCGTCTCCTCCTACTCCACCTCCTCGGTGCGAACATGCCGAGCGGTGTTCCTCGGTATGTGAACAGCAATAGCCTTGCACGTGCAATCAATTAGGATTCGCGTGTCGCGTCTACTAAGTGCGGTCGCATCTTCACAGACGCCGAACCACTACGGCGGACAGCCGGATCTAGCAGGTTGGGGGGGGGGAGTAGAAGTCTCACGTGGAGATATTCACTCTCCGCGGAGGTTGTCCGTGCCTGGGAAACCAAGTGGGAGGCCGTCCATAAATGACGTCACGCACCTGGGGGGGGGGGTCAGACATTTGTGACGATGTGTGACGAGCGGGGGGATGGGTTGAGAAATGTGACGTCACATCAAAATGCGCAACTTTAAATATATATAGACAACACGTTCTACTTAATTAAACGTACTTTTTAATGTTTCTCCTACAACATCCGAGTGCAGCGCCATATTAAATACGCACTACAATGACAATAGTTTAAAGCGACTTGAAGCATGTTTTATTTGGGGGGGAGGGCAGAGCTTTGTGACGTCATATTTGAGGGGGGGGGTCTGACTTTTTGTGACGTCGTGTGACGAGTGGGGGGGGGGGTCAAAAATAGTCCAAAATCGCGTGACGTCATTTATGGACGGCCCCTGGCGTCTCCAGGTTCGCGGTGCGGCGCTTACCAACTGCGCCACTCGCTCTGCGTGCGCTGTGCAGAGGCGGGCAGTCACGGGCGGACGGAAATGAAGGTCTCGAAGCTGAACTGGAAGAGCGATCTCTCACTGAGCAAAGGTTGAGCACGGAAGAGAGTGCGTGGAGGGGAGGGGAGCGAGATGAGAGGGGAGAGGTAAGAGAGTGCGTGGAGGGGAGTAGAGTGAGATGAGAGGGGAGAGGCAGGAGAGTGCGTGGAGGGGAGTGGAGTGAGATGGGAGGAGAGTGGAGTGAGATGAGAGTGGAGAGGTAGGAGAATGCGTGAAGGGGATTAGAGTGAGATGAGAGGGGAGAGGCAGGAGAGCGCGTGGAGGGGAGTAGAGTGAGATGAGAGGGGAGAGGTAGGAGAGTGCGTGGAGGGGAGTAGGGTGAGATGAGAGGGAAAAGGTAGGAGAGTGCGTGGAGGGGGGTAGAGTGAGATGAGAGGGGAGAGGTGTAGCAGACTCCCTTAGCCGACAGGCATTCAATTCCCACGGAGGTTCATGAAAGTTCATCAGCATGTTTGCTGACGAATAACCCACAGCAACGTGTGAGTCAACAGCAAAACATATCGCACGAGAAATCTGTAGCCCTACCACACCGAATGTAGTTGTCATAAACACACCACACACACACGTCACACACACATCACACACCCTTCACACACACATCACACACACCACACACACACATCACACACCCATCACACACCCATCACACACATCACACACACACACCACCACACACACATCACACACACCACACACACATCACACACACACATCACACACACATCACACACACACACCACCACACACACATCACACACACACATCACACACACATCACACACATCACACACACACACCACCACACACACATCACACACACCACACACACATCACACACACACATCACACACACACGTCTCGCACAGCATCATCAGCCATGTCGTCGTCAGCTCTGCAAGAAGGGTCACCCCCCCCCTTGCCCCTCTCGTGGTCACGTGATACCACGATCCATCTCACTCCTGCGCGAATATCTGATGTCGCGGCTCCATCTCCGCGGCGGTTGTCCCGTCCGGCGTCACCGCCCGTCCCGGGGCTGCGGATGCCAAACCTCCTTTCAGGTGCCGCGATGCCCCCTAGTGTTGTGCGTGGAGCAGAGATCACTTTTAAAAAGCATCTCTCGAAGGTAGCTCTGGGGTGTCCACTTCCAGTGGAGCCGTTCTGCGACACGGAAGGGCTGCCCTCCTCTCTCGAGAAATTCGAAATTGACGTTTCGTCTCAACGACGCCTTCCACGCCGACTGACACGGAGGCGTGCCTTTGCTTGTTCCGCTGACAATGTGCGGCGGACAGATGTATGCACGTGTGCACGCTGGACTTCTTTCGCGCCGTACGTGGCCAGCCGTGCTAATCGGAGGTGCGGGGTGCTCCAATCAGATCGGGTGCAGGCATCCCGTTCCCGCGAGTGGACCATACCATTCCAGAATTACCCCATCGGCAAATGCGGCTTGCTTACTAAGTGGAACGTTCCATTTGCTAAACGTGGGGTGACGCACACGTCCGTCCGTACCTCCGGCCGCACCTTTTCACATCTCCCCCAACACGTCAATGAAAAATAACACTCCGGGTTTTCTTTGCATTTTAATACCACAAATTTTTTTTTCGTTGTTGTTATTCAGTTTAAAATGGCTACAATTTAGTGTCCGAGTTCACAAAGAGGATGACGGTGATAATAAAATCATCTGAACGCATTTGCGTGCGCGCGTACGCACAACAACACCAACAACAACCGCCGTTCACCACTAAGTGGCGGTGACGTCGCCACGGCGCCCGTGCCATGCTCGGTGCACTTTGAGGACTCGTGAAAGTGTCGAAGGCTCGCTACCGGCCAGGAGGTGACGGAACAGAGCCCAGGTGCCAATGGGTTGACTGACTTGAGACGTCTGCCCGATGTACCACCCTGCGCTCCCCACCGTGCCAACTTGCTGCGTTTTAGCCGCCCGGCGCTCCGCTCCTTGTTGTGAGCGTCGCTCCTCTGCCCTCCGCTGCTGCTGGAGGGCGACTGCCTCCGACTGCCCGGCAGCGAACCTCCTCTGCTTTGTTCAGAAACAGAGATAAAGATCTCCCGTGTGGCGTTTAGCAGACTGTTTTTGGGGCAAGTGCCGGCACTGCACGCGTGTGCGCAGCCTCGCGCGCTCGAACGAGCTCTGCTGTCGATGGCTGATGTACGAACAGCAGAGTTACCGCGGTCATAACATTCGAGAAAATTTCTTTTTTACATAAGTGGGAAGGATGAACCGCAGGGAAAACCACTTTTACCGAACGGAAAAATAAATGAACACGAGTGCACACGCAGCAAAAAAAAATTCGGGTAAGGCGATGAGGAAATTTCCGGGTTGCACTTTGTTTGTTTCTCAAGCATTGACGAACATGACTTGTACGATGTAACTTTTTGTTTACGAATGTTCATTAATACGATTGTCCATCTTAGAGATGCAATGATCCCCCCCCCTCTACCCCCACACATAACCGCCGCCCTCTATCAAGTCAACGAAAACAAATTCACGATTCTGGGCCACATTTGGATTCAAGAATAGGACGGGTGGCTTTTCATTTTATTTCTTCCCCCATATTCTTACGTCATCATTTACCGGCGGAGGCGCAGCCCTGCAATTGCCGACTCGCGCCACCCTGCTGGTGGAAGGGGCATTCACGAAGAGGCAGTTTTCCACAGTCCGTCCGGTGGAGGGCCCTCTAGAGGGTGTTTTGGCCAACTCCTCCACCAGGATAGGCAACATGAATTAAACAAGCCGGCAGTTTTGCTTGTAGATTTGGTAACTTACATGCCTCTTATCAATGATAAAACTGTCGCTGATGAATGCCGATCTTCAGAGAGAGCCACTCGACAGGATAATTTGACCGACTCATCCACGCTGCCCAAGACATGTCGGCAGAGGTTTGAGCGCGTACCCTCACTTTAACAACAATAACAATTAACATGTATATGTAAGACGCCTTCCACTCGTGTCCCAAGGCGCCTTACCCCACCGCACACGCGTCAATCGACGTTTTGTTGGCCATCTCCTCTCGCGCAGCCTCGTGAACGGAACGTTCCGTTTCGATCGCTGAATCCGTGCGTCGCCACGTGCCGAGTGCGTAAGCAAATTGTTTTATGATATTGCTACCACCGCTGCTGCATTGGCGCACGAGCACAAACAACAACAACGACAACACGAACATTCAGCACGGTCGGTCAACAACGCTGCGGCCTTAAGACGGAACGTATGCAACAGGCGACGTTTCAGGTAGTGGGACCGTCTTCAGAGTACGTGAGCAAGGGGCTCGTGTGCTCTGCATAAGGGGCACTGCCTGAAACGTCGCCAAGAATATACTGCCTCTGTTCAAGGTCACAGCGCTATTGAGGAACGCGTTGAGCATTTGTCTGCTGTGAATGTCCACGTGATAAGCCACTTCATTGGGCGATCATTTGTGGCCAGGTCGCTTCTGAAAAAGTGCTATACGGCTCAGCAGGCCTTACCTGTTAAAATAAAAAAAATTTGTACAGTCGTTTTAATAGTTTAATAGTTGAGGTTTGAGTGTGCGAGTGCACGTAATGGGCACGCGTTTCAAACGATCTGGACAATTTTGCGTCTGACATTCTGATCAGTGGACATGCCGCGATGACGTCACGTGTCTACTTGCCAACACAATTGTGACGTCACCCGGCAGCTGTGCGCCGACGCTTTTATTTTGTGGCTCAAGAGCGCAGCGTGACGTCACAGCTGTATATATTTCATCTTCACGCCAATCCGTAAAAAAAAAAACCCACTCGGATCGTCCAGAAATGTCGCATCACGGGGCCCGATTTTAGGTTCAAATCTCCCGATGAAATGCGAAAATTAGAGATCGCCATGCCGAGGGTTCAACCGTTGCGAAGTGAGCTCCGTAGTGCATTTTGTTCAACACGTGAGAGAGCGCGCACGTTACGAGCCCGAACGAGGGGCAATCGGAATGCCGCGCGGACAGCCACGCACGGCGCGCACAACACCACCGGCACCACTAAATTGGCCGTGTCGGGTGGTGGCGGCTTTAACGACACATTTAAATTTACGCGATCTAACCCCAATTTTTTTTTTACCTGTATTGTGGATGACATTGGTCGCGAAAAGCCTGCCACGTGTTAAACTCTCGCCGACCGCTGCCGCCGCGCGCCATTCTAAAAACGCCGTGACAATGAAACGAAAACATCGCGAACAAAGTGGTGGCGTGTGTGAAAACCTACAGACTTCGCCGGCCGCCTTCACACGCGGGGGGAACCCTTCGCGAAATCAGTGGCCAGTGTTAGCAGAGTAGCGGGACATCAATAATAAGAAGAGTTATACACTGGTCAACACACTTTTTCTGGCATAAGGTATTTCAACGGTTTTAATGTAATTTTGGGGTGCTGATTCCAAATCTGGCATCAGTTTTTGTCTATCACATCAGGTTTTTGAGATATCAAATATTGCATTTTCAATAAAAACTGCAGAAGAAAGAAAATTAAATAAATGTGGATATCTACATAAAATGATACTATAAACACACTATCCTAAAAATACAGCACCGTATTTTAATACTAAAGCAGTCACTGACTCGCAAAAACTTGCAATCATAAGTGACAAGAGTTATTTCGGGTAAAATCAATGAAAATGGGGTATGCCGATAGCATAAAAATGAGATGTGATAGAGCAAATCTGAGATCAGTATTGGAATCAGCACCCTGAAATTAGTCTAAAACAGCCCAGAAAAAAATGTTTTTTTTGCTGTTGACCAGTGTAATTGATATTATTAACAGGCCTTTGCCAATCTACTGCTAGATTAGTAACATCCCCATAACGTGTTGGTCATTAGGGATTATTTAACCATACTTCACCGCGCTGGTCAGTGGAGGAAGGTGAAGTCGGTTGTGGGGGGGGGGGGAGTCCAGAAACCGGTTCAGACATCACTCGCCACGGGGTCGAACCCAGTGGCGCCTCCAAGTGGAAGTGCTCCAACTCGCTTCGCCACCACCGCTCCGAGAGGCTCGGCAAGCCGTGGATCTCAACTCGGTGGCTTCAACTCGATCCTTAGCCTAGGCCAACATCGGCGGTGATTGATATATCGAGGACCGGTCCCACGCGACACGCCCAGCGACCCCACCGATAGCCCACACACTCACCGGCGCGCGATGTCAAAATGTGTCCAGACAACCCCCACAATCGGTCCGCATGAGAGAGCTTCATTGCGAGCGGTGGGTGGATAAAAGCTCTGTAGACCGTCGTCGTCATCGTCGATGTTGTTATGACGCCAATTAAAGGTATCGGGATTATCCTCGCTGGAGCCACATTTGGCAGAACATCCAGCGATGTTTCCAGCCACGGCTTCGTAGTAGAGGACGCACACGCGGCAGTTCGCTTTAAAACGGACGCGGCCATCCCGGTGGTCAAAAACCCTTGGCAGCGAGGAGCCCGCGCCGCCGGTGGGTGGACACGCGAATGTTTTACTCTCCTCACTTCAGGAGGGGATGTCCCCCGACGAGACGCGGAACGATGGCTTCGGCTCGTGCGCCAGGCTGGATTGCTACATCCCGGGATCATACGAGGTGCCGTCATCCAACAGTGGAGTGACCATGGCTGCGTAATGACGATGATGACTTTACGAGCAGCTTCGTTGGGATTCTTTCGGTGAGTGATGCTTATGACCCCCCCCTCACCCCCCCCCCCCCCCCCGCTATCTCAGAACCGCCACGTCGCTTCTCGTGGTCGTGCCATGCGGCCTCTCCGCCGTTGTCGAGTCGTGCCGTGCTTGTCCTCGTTGTTAGACGTTCCGCCACACGTGCCTCGTCAGGAGTTCCCCCGTGTTGTTCCACCATCGCGTCCACAGTCGGGGCGATCTCAGAGATCGATTCGTCGGTGAGGAGGCTGGTGGTCTCGTCGCAGTCCCGGGCTGCGACGGCTCGCGCCGCGTCGATTCGTCGTCAGGCGGTCGCCTGCCGTGGATTCTGCGCCGAGGATGGAGTCGGGTGGTCTGCTACGCTGCTTGTGGACGAAGGGGCATGGGCAGAGATTCACGCCAGTAAGGCGGGGGTGGGGGGGCGGGATCTGGGGTCTGTCCGGGCCAGCGACCCATCCCAGAGAATATTTCCCCCGCCCGGCACGCCGCATCCAGTACGCCTGTCGCTGTGTGACCGTTGGCTACCCAACGACCCGGAGAGTCTCGAGCGAAGAGGTCCCATCTCCGGGCTGCGGGGCCCCTCGGGTGCTCGTTCGGCGGCGTCTAACCCCCGACCGGTGCCGGCGCGATGCCGGTGATGGCGACGCAGCTCGGCGACGCCAAACACCGACCGCCAGAGCTCAGCGAGACGACAGGGAACGGCAGGGGCCGGGTAGGGAGAGGGCGAGCGAGTGAATAAGAGAGAGCAAGAGAGAGAGAGAGGGAGGGAGGGAGATAGAGAGAGGAGGGGGGGGGGATGGCCGTCGTTAGGGCTGGAGAGACGCGGCCCCGCCACTGGACGCCGCGGGGACAGCGTCCGCGTTGTTGTTGGGGCCCTCGCTGGCGTCCAGCATCTCCTCGGAGAGGCTCACGGACATGTCCTGCGGCGTCGCCTCCTCCTCGGCGATGACCTCCTCCTCCCCGCGGCCGCCCCCCGCCTCCTCCTCTTCCTCCTCCTCCTCCTCGTCGTCGTCGTCGTCGTCGACGTGGGGACTGCCGCCCGCCCCGCGGCGGTGCCGGCGCCGCCGCCGCCGCCGCTTGTTGAGCAGCGGGTTGCTGGACTCGTCGAGCTGCTTGATGCGCACCTGCTCGTAGTCGACACGCATCGTCGCCAGCGCGCTCGTCATCTCGTCCTGGAGGGCACGCGCGCACAGACAGGCATGCACGCACAGGCACGCACGCACAGACACGCGCGCACAGACACGCACACGCACGCACGCACAGACACGCACACACACGCACACACACGCATGTACGCACGCACACACACACGCGCACAGACACGCACACACAGGCATGTACGTATGCACGGCTTGCCTGGGTTAGCCGAACACGAGGGGGTTAGGGGAACATTCGAGGAAGGGTATTTTATACGTCGCACTTTTTGACTGCTTGCGATCTCCATGAGCGCCACCCGGGACCGTGATTCACGGGGACGGCTGGCACGCACCCCCCCCCCTCACCCCCACCCGCTCATTCCTCAGTTCATGACCCCCCGCGAGGATGGCCCGGCTCTACTTGTCACGAAAGGCACCCGCGGCCTGCGGGCGTGCGCTGCGTGCGTGCGCCACGGCGCAGCTCACCTTCACCTCGTCCCACATCTCCCGCTCCTCCTGCAGCACGCGGCTCGTGTGCAGCGGGGTGGGCGGCACCTCCATCCAGCGCTGCGGGGCACGCGCACACACCGCTCGCGTGAGTGGCCCCACGGGGTGCCAGGGTGATCGTCATCATCATCGACTCGGTTACTCTGACGAGTGCGGGGATAACGAACGCGATGTCGGCGCGGTGCGGCGCGGTGCGGTGCGAGCGCTCACGTTGATCCAGGGGTGGTTCATGAACTCGGCGATGGTCATTCGCTGCGTGGGATCGGTCTTCAGCAGCTGGCGGATCAGCTGTTTGGCTGTCGGGTGACAAAGCGGAACAACGTCGTGACGCGGCTCGGAGGGCTTTGCCGCCACGGTGAGCACGCCGAACCTCGCAGCCCGGAGGTCACCGGGTTTGACTTCCCCCCCGTGGCCCCGGCGGTTGCCCACCACTCACCCTCCTCGGAGACGTCGGCCCACTCGGGGTTGGGGAACTCGTACTGGCCCATTCGGATTCGCTTCTTCATGCCGGGAGAGATGGCGAGCCCGTGGTTCGAGTAGAAGGGAGGAAATCCGCAGAGCCTGTGCAGAGGGGGGGGGGGGGGCGGTGTCAGAGGTCATGGGGCGGTTTGGATTTACCGTCGTAACTTGGGGCGGTTGCCACCTCGGAGGTCCAAAAAAATACCTGGGACATACCGTGGAAGAAGAAAATAAGATACGGAAATAAGGTGATGCCTATGTGCGAATGCAGAATGTGTATTTATACTGAAGAGGAATCCGATGAGCTATAAAGCTCTTCCTCACGTATGTCCAGTAGGGGCGGGTCAGAACGTTACAACCACAAACAATACAAAACCACAATAAGATTGGAAAGTATAGGAAAGGTAAACAAATCACTTTAAAAACATATGCATTGCCTGCAGTTATGTTATTAGTATCATCATCGTCATGATCGTAATTACACTACTATTAACACCCGAGGCTTTCCATGTCCCAGGAAGATATACAAACGCGTGAAAACGCACTGGCACCATCACCGCTATCAAACAATCATAACCGTTACCAATTAAATCAATCAAATAAAAATTTACAAAACGTATAAAGTGCTTGTACACGAAATATTGTGCACGGATGGCTTCCCTTTAGTGTGTGCATTTTATTTAACCGCACGGTGAGAATTCCAGAGGCCCAGGATGAAGTCTCGCTCGCGAGAGAGGCGTGGGTGATTGGGGATCAAGTAGGAAAGAGAGAGAGAGCACGTGGACTCACAGGATGTACATGATGACCCCGAGGGACCACATGTCACACGACTTGTCGTACTTCTCAGGCCCCAGCACCTCGGGCGCTGCGTCCAGAGAGAGGGGGACACACGGCGAGACGGTGACGCGCGTGCGGGCGAACACGCGTACGTGCGTATGTTGAACTTCTTTCGCACCGTACGTAGCTAATCGTGATGATCGGAGGTGCGGGGGAAGGACAACATGGGTTTCCTCCGAGGCGCCCCCCCCCCCCCCTCCCACGTACCCACGTAGTAGGGGGTGTAGCAGGGCGTGCTGAGCGAGTCGAAGGGTGTCGTCTCCTTGGCGAAGCCGAAGTCGGTGAGCTTCAGGACGGCGTCCGACTGGCGCGTTGTGTACAGCAAGTTCTCGGGCTGCTCGCTCGCCACCACCACCACGACAACAACAATGACGACAACAACAATGACGACAACAACAACGGATCTTCAGCTTCCCCGTTCCGCTGCTTTAGCTGAACCCTTTGCGGGCGGCCGTTTAAAAAAAAATATTTTAAATAAACTTAAATCTGAAACGTAATTTAACGTGAAGATAATTGATTAAATATGGCAGGGGAATGGGTCACTATGGAATGTCTTGGTGACGACAAAATGTACAACAGTCAAACTCCATTGTTAAAGAATAACTGAGCGGATGGGGGGGGGGGGGGACGAAATCGATGCAGTTTATTCGATCACCTATTCTGTTCTACTTCAGTCACAATGTGTTAGTCATCGAACTGCCGTGTTTGCGCACAAAGACAAACACGCAACAACGGTTCTTCCTCTTCTTCTGCTTCTTCTTTGGAAGTTTGTCGACCCCCCCGCCCGCTATAGGCGATCCGGGGCCCCCCACTCATCTCCCCCCACCCCACCCTCACCGCCAGGGGTGCCCTCACCTTGACGTCGCGGTGAGCGATGTTCATGGAGTGCAGCGAGAGGATGGCCTGCCCAATGTCCCTCATCGTCTCCGAGGCCTCTGCGGCGAGAGACGGCGCGGCGCGAGCTGTTGATGTCTCAGAACGACTATAATCATTATTACTCCTCCTACCGAGATCCCATTGTTATTGCCAACATGTACGCGTGTATGTGGAACTTCTTTCGCGCCGTACGATGTCGACCGTGCTCGTCGGTTGGTGCGGTAAAGAAATCCCACAACTCCGATGGGCGCAGTTGGCTATGCACGGCGCGAAAGAAGTTCAACGTGCAATGCATCTTTGTACAGCCCTCTGTCATCTACTGCTGGATGAAGGCCTTCCCACTGCGTGTCGGACTTGATGGCGGTCGTTGGAGCATACTTCGCCGCAATGGTCAGGGCGGATTGGTGACGAGGGCGCACAGGACCGGCTTGGACATCGCTCGCCACTGATTTCAGCCGCGGCTGGGATTTGAACTCGGGTCGCTGGGTTCGTGGCATATTGCACGCACCGCTGTGCCACGGCGTAGCGCGGCGCGGCTCACCTCGTTCCGTGAACGCCTGGTCGCCACGATCTTGTATCCGGCTGAACAACTCTCCTCCCTCCATGCTGCAGACACATCGTCACCGCCATCATTATCATCACCACAATCATCATCGCTACCATCGTCATCGCCATCATCATCATTATCATGCTCGCCACCATTATCATCACGATCGTCACGACCATAATCATCGCCACCATCATCATCATCATAGCTACCATCATCATCATCATCGCCATCATCATCGCTACCATCATCATCGCCATCATCATCATCATCATCATGCCAGTCACCATCATTATCGCCACCATTATCATGATCGCCATGACCATCATCATCGCCACCATCACCATCATCATCGTTACCATCATTATCATCATCAGTTTAGTTTGCTGTCCTTCCACCGCACCTCGGATTAGCTCGGCTGCCTACGTACGGTGCGAGAGAAGTTCAACATACACACATCTAGATCCTGCACACGAGGAGCTGATGTCACCGCTCCATCTCAGCAGTGAGCCACCCCCCTGCGGACGCGTTCCCCCTCCTTTGACTGCTGCTCTGTCGTTAGCCTCGACCATCGGCCAATCGTTGAGCTGGTTCTTTCGGTAAAGTCAGGTAGAAGGGAAATAATAAAATAATAATAGTTACATTAAATAAAGTTCTCACGACGTTTCGGCCACAACACAAGCAGCCGTCCTCAGGTGAAGAAACAGAGCTGTCGGAAAGACAACGTCCTAATGAACACTGCTAAGCTTGGCAGCGTATTTTTATTTTTTTATTTTTGTATTTCCCTTCTACGTGACTTTACCGAAAGAACCAAGAATATGAATCCCTGCAGTCACGAAAGCTTTAAATCGAAATTTAATCGTTGAGCTGTTTTCTTGTCTGTGATGTTAATTTTGCACGTATTCATCTTAAACTCCACTTGACGACCTCATTTAAAAATAAAAAAGCTATTATTTCATTTCCTGATTGAGTAAACATCACGGACAGAGCTGAGTGGAGGGAAGGCCACGCTCGCCGACGCCTGAGAGAAAGGAGGCGGCTCACGTTTTCAGTTTTCATTGCGTTTCAGTTTCATTTATTTGGTATAGCCCTGTGAGCCATTCGGCTCTTGAATCGGGTGCAACCGCAACAAACAAAAAAACTAAAACATGAACAAGAAACATCTTGAAGTGACTATGCGCAAACAGAAAAATCCAGGAGAGAGAGAGAGGGAGAGACATTTCGGATTATGAATTTATTTCTCCAACCCCACTGTTCAGAATGAAGAAGCAAAAACATCTTCGATATTGTCGCTCTGAATGCATTTTGGGGTCGGAGGAGGGGGGGGCGATTCTGTTCCTCTTTTCCTCGGTGCGGCCTCAGTGTCGCCGTTCCGCCTCTGCGTGTGCATGAACGTGCACACGCGTACAAATATTCTAACAGAAAAAAAAGAAAGATACGTAGGTGTACACGTTTAAAAGTTATATTTTAGGCTTTCACGACTAATATCGTGAGTCATAAATCGTTTTTGCTGAAAAGGCCAAATTTAATCGCCAATATTTTCCCACGGGATGCTCTGTTGGATGTTTGACGGTTTTAGCTAAAAATGTACGTTTTACTTACATGACGATCTAACGCAAAAATAAACTCACTGTGAATCACGTGTCAATGTAGTAGGCTACTCCACAAAATAAAGCCACTTATTTAAAATTAAAAGGCGAGGGTACATTTTCGACTAACCTCACCTAATTCGTAATGCGCGTTGCACAACGATGACTAATTGTTACATCTCACACCGTGAAATCAACACTCCCCCCTTCCTGATATAAATTTAGATTTGCGTGACCAACATTGCCTGCCGAGGTGAAAATTGCGTGACCCTTAACCCCCCCCCCCCCGCAACAGAACACAACCTGGCGTGGAAATGCGTCGCGTTCAAAAGAAACGACGCGCACGCACAATGACCACAGCAGCGGCAACATTCGACGCATGCAGCGACTTGTTGCGAGGGAGGTCTGACGCCGTCTGCGACGAGAGGGCTTGGGGAGTGAGCGAGCGAGAGAGAGAGAGCGAGAATTCGTGTCGTTTCGCAACTCCCCCGTTGAAGGAGGAGTGCAGGCCGCAGTGGTTCGCTTCGTGGTCCAGATGCCATCAAACACACCGACGGCGTTAAACAGAAACCATTCCTGCCCGTTGCCCCAAACGCCTAGACGGGAATGGCTTTTTGCGCCGTGCCTATTACATAAACACAATTTTTCTACAAGCCTATTAATACTGCAAGAACAACAGCGATGGTTATCAACGAAAATCAGAGATTTTTTTTCTCTCAAACATTAAGAAACACTGCGGCGGAGATTAAATTCCCTGCGAGACCAAAACTGCCGGAGCGGCTCCTGTTGCTGAGCTCACTGCTTCGGTCAGAGGCCGCTTATCACTCGCTGCAGTGACGGAAGATGACTAAATTGTTTTTTTTTCTCTCGCTCGACGGCTTCGAACAAATAAGGCAGCGGATAACCCGCGGTGCGCCAGCGAAATAAAAACAACACACCTAACACGGAGCCCTGCGTCCCGAGAGCGAGCGAGCGAGCGAGCGATGCATGCTGGAGGCCCATTGCCTGAAGCGTCAGCCGTCGCAGACTTCCCCCCCCCCTCTCCCTAATGCGTCGACCGATTTTGAACGAAAATCGTTGCTGAAGCGACACGTTGGCGCAACACTTTAGGCGGATCATCCCAGACGGATGATCAACAAAACGTTCCACCTCCGAATAAGCTCCCGGCACGCAGAGCGAGACGTCTGCCTCAAACGACGCGCGGCGCGGTCCAGAATCACCGCGGCGATGATCCTACACAGCAGAACTATTCCCGTGCCCCCCCCCCCCCGCCCCAACAGCAACCACCCCCCTCCCCTCCAGGGCCGGATTAAGATGTTGTAGCCCCCTGGGCTACAGGTACCGTGAGCCTCCCCCCCCAAGTAATATTTTCCAAAGGAAAAGAAAGTTGAAGAATTTTTTTTTTGATTTAAAGCTTTCGTGACTGCGGGGATTCATCTTCTTGGTTCTTTCGGTAAAGGCACGTAGAATGGACAGACCTGTTCTCCACCTGAGGACGGCTGCTTGCGTTGTGGCCGAAACGTCGTGAGAATTATTTTATTATGTGTTATTTTTATTATTTTATTATTTCCATTCTACGTGACTTTACCGAAAGAACCAAGAAGAAATGTTTTTTTTTTTTTACAAGGCTAATAACAAATGAAATTCAGCGTTCGCAAATGAAATCACTCTTCACTTCATCTCTGGAGGGCCTCCAGCTGGCGGAGGCTGCAGCCCCTAAAGCCCCCACGCCTTGATCCGGCCCTGCTCCCCCACCCCTTCCACACACGCAGCAAAAGTGTTGCGGCGGCGGCAGCAGCGATCGTTCACGGCCCCTCCGCGGCACTGGCGGCACAGCCACGCGGTGGGCACCGGTGGTGGGTGCCGGCCAATGGCAGAGCCAGGATTTTCAGGTGGGGGGGGGGGGGGCAACCCCTCCAGCAATGAAAAATGACAGAAGATTTAAATTTCGATTGAAAGCTTTCGTGACTGCAGGGATTCATCTTCTTGGTTCTTTCAGGAAAGTCACGTAGAAGGGAAGTAATAAAATAATAAAAATAAAACATAATAAAATAATTCTCACGACGTTTCGGCCACAACGCAAGCAGCCGAAACGTCGTGAGAATTATTTTATTATTTGTCGTTTTATTATTTTATTATTTCCATTCTACGTGACTTTACCGAAAGAACCAAGCAGATGACAGAGGATTTGTGAGTAAGTAAGGAGTTGTTAGTAAGTAAGGACTTGTCCCTTGCTTTTTATTCGACGCGTGTGCGGCGATGGCGCAGCCATCGATCGAGGGTCGAATTCGAACCGCGTTGTGTGATCGGCATCGCGCTCGCTGAAGGTGTTGATGCCTTCAGGGAAGTCGTCTACTGTATACGCAACTGCGCACAATTCTGAGTCACTTATAACTGCTTTGCCGTTACTTATTGCCATTTGTGGACTCAGACTATTGTCCTATCATCTCATAGAGTCCTTGGCACATAATAATATGCTACACAGTGGCAGTGGGGGTCGCAAAATGCCGATTTATTACTAATAAACCCCAATGATCCGATCTAAATTAGGGATTTCGATCGGATCATTGAGGGGTCACGTGCCACCCCCCCCCCCCCCCCCCACTGGCTCCGCCAGTGGTGCCGGCAGTCTTCTTAGTTCCTGTGGTCCGTGAAAAACAAACTGTTGGAGCTTCAGATGCAGTGATATATATTAAACAGCACGATAACAATAACCACTACAATAACTATTATAATTTAAATATGTTGTCAGGATGCTCCTGCTAAGTATGTAGGGCAATGATATGTTATACTGGTAGGAACCTCCTAGTTACACCAGCCCACAGGGGATTATTGTGTCCGGCCGTCCGTCGTGCATCCAAAAATGGGAGGGGTGGGGCTGGGTGGAGAGGGGAGGGTGGGGAGGGGCTGGTCACCCCGTGGTGCCCTTATAAAACTCAACGTTTTACCTACTCACGCTGGCTTGTGCCCGCCCTCACAGTCGGGCATATTTGCGTTGACCCTGGGCATTGACCGAGCAACCCAACGTTCCTACCAGCTCCCTCCGCAGGAATGTGTTTTACGTATGTACATGTTTTTAAACACAAGAGAACACTGGAATACTTGGAGAACACCCACACAAAGACAAAGATCCCCCGTATAGACTGTAATAAACTGTTGGGGCAAGTGCTGTTAGCAAGCAGCACCTATGAAGGCCAGAACGGCACACGAGGGGAGAGGGTGGTGGGGTGGCCAGCACCACGCCCGGCCGCCTTTGTCTCCCCGGTGGCGATGTTTTTACACACCGCACCAGCTACTCATTTGAGGCTGAGTCGACCTCACCCACAACCCACACACGCGCACACAGGGGGACTCTGCCGCTCATGAAGCTCAGCCGTGTTCGAGCTCCATGCGGGGACGCAGTCGTCCGCGCTTTGATCCGCCGTGCACCACAGCGACCCCAGTTCGATTCTCTGCACGGCTAACATCAG